GACTCTGGAGCAAAAGCTGAGCGCATTGAAATGCTGGATTTGCTTGGTGATGGTTTAACTTCAAGATTAGAATTTTTTTTTTTTTTTTTTTTTTTTTTTTTTTTTTTTGCTATACTGCATCAAGATGAGTTAACCCACACTTATTCTTCATTTCAACTAATCTAAACCTGACAAGGAAAGCTGTAGAGTAGAGGTGCCCAACCTGTGGCCTGTGGGCCCCATGATGATTTTGTGAGAATTTTTCTTGCTTAATCAGCTTTCCTTTTAATGTGTAGCCCAAGACAACTCTTATTTTTCCAATGTTAGGTAGAGAAAAAAAAAGTTAGACACCCCTGATAGAGTCATGGGTGAGTTCAGTGTTAGTGAAGGTGACAATACCACCTCTTCCTTCAAAGTCAATTTGAAAAAAAAAAAAAAACCAAAAAATTCATGAAATCTTTTTTTTTTTTTGAGACAGAGTTTCATTCTCTTACAGGATAGAGTGCTGTGGCATCAGCCTAGCTCATTGCAAATTTGAATTTTTGGGTTTAAACAGTCCTCCTGCCTCAGCCTCCTGAATAGCTGTGACTACAGGCACCCATGACAATGCCCAGCTAATTTTTCTATTTTTAGTAGAGATGGGGGTCTCGCTGTTGCTCAGGCTAATCTCAGACTCCTGAGTTCAACAGAAACCTCCCACTTCGGCTTCCCAGAGTGTTAGGATTACAGGCCTGAGCTACTGTGTCCTGCGTTCCAAGTAAAATGTTCATTGTTTGCATCAAATGCTCTCTGATAAATATTTTGCATTTTTTCTATTATTTGTTTTATTAATATGAGTTTTGGTACGATTTATTTTAATCATAAACTCTGTAATAGTGCATTAAAGAATAGAGCCAATTGTGAGAAAAGCGAGCTTAGAGCAATTAACATCCTGATAGAAAGTGCAGGAAAGTTTTCAGTGACCCCAAGTTGCCTATTTTCTAACAAGTCCATGCCCAGAAACATAAAGAGCACCCAAGGTCATCTTTGCAGAGCGCTAGACCCCTAACGACAACATTTGCACTTGTTGAAAAACATACCCTGCTTTTACCATCACTCAACACGCCCCATAGCATACTCAATACCTAATTAAATACTTTTAAAACCAGAGCTTTCTCCACCCCCCATGTGTAGCCCTATGTCTAGCTGACATCCTCGCTCTCTGTCTGGGTTCACAGGAAGCAGACTCATTGCACAGTGGTTAGTGGCAGCCCCTAGCCCCAGGCTGCCCTGTGCTCAAATCCTGGTTGTACCTTTAATGGTCACGTGACCTCCCACAGGTTATTTTACATCTCTGGGTCTCAGTTTTCCTACCTGTAAAATGGGATGACAATAATTCCTACCTCACAGGGTTCCTGTGAGGATTAAATTGAATATGCAGGGTATCTATAAAGTTCATGTGCAATTTAAACTTACATACAAACTTACAGATACCGTTTGAAAAGTGCTTCGAGGTTCTGGCACACAGTGGGTGCTGCGCTATATGCCAGCCCCTTTTGTCACCTGACAGAGGTTCTTACTCAGCCCCTTGGGAACTGATAAACTTTCTTCTTGGCTCTCTGGCTCAGGCCCAAGGTCGCTGGGCACATGGCCAGTATGGGCCCCCATGGCCTCCACCCTGAGATTTGCACCTCCTCATAGTCCAGGTTACAATTAAAATCAGAGTAGGATTATATATTTGAATTATTTTTTAATCGTCCTCAGTGCACCAGAATGGCATCTGGCATA